TTATAGGGTGATGGACACACCTATGGGCACAGACAAGTCTCCCCCAACAGCCTAAGGGTACAAAAGCATGTACCCCCACTGTCACTTTCCTTCTCTCAGCTGATGGCTTCATCATGCTTCCCAGTCATCCTGGACCTCCAAACTTCAGGTGCCTCATGAAGAAGAAATGGGGAGACACCAAAGGCTGCTTCCACTCAGTGACTCATGTCAAAATATTGCCCCTAAGTTTTGCACTGCTAGCTGTTTGTTTATATGGATAGTTAATCCAAGTGAAAACAACTTTAAAGAAGTCCAGGTCTTCAGTCTCATCTGTCTTATACCCTAACCAGCTGAGGTGGCCTGTCGTAACTCACTTCCCATTTACCTTTCTACCTACTCAATTTCTGGGTATTTTACAGTAGTTAATAAATGTTCTGAGAAGGAATGAATGAACAAAGAATTGAGCAGAAAAGCAAATACCCGAGAAACACTCATAGTTATGGAGGTGAAAAGAGGGCATAAATCAATGAAAGAAACTGAAAAAAAAATCACCCTAACTTCCCAGGCCATGATAATGCCTAGCAGCTTGTCAGTTTTATCCTGTGTATGAATCATCCAGGGATTTTGGTGCAGCCAGAGATTCAGCATTTCTGACAAGCTCTGAGACCTTAAGGTTCCACCAGAGAGCACGCCTTAAATAACAAGGCTTTAGATGATGGTTCCTCACACGCATGCCCCTGCTAATAACAGATGCATGAGAGAACGCCCATGGCTTAGCACTAATTCAATTTTCTGTGAATTAAAAAAAAAATGCTGGCTCAACTGATGCAAGTAGGGAAGAAAGCACATAAACTGATATGACAGGCAGATGAACAAGGTTATTTAACTTTCCAAGCTATGGAACTCATCCCTAAGCTACAGAGCTCCTGTTTAATAAGAAATCTGTCTCGATGGTTCTAATATATTATTTACCTCCAATGCTATTTTTGGTAGTTACGAATATTCAAATATCCCAGCATGCCATTCAACTGCTCACTTTTAAGTGTCTGTCATTTGCCTCTGGAGAGTTATACCATTTATTTCATTAGACCTTTTCACCCCCATGTAATATTTTGTTGAATTGCTATTAACCTTTCTTTTGGCTTCCTTATTCACTTTCTTAGTCTCTTTTGGATTATCTGTTCTTCATCCACATGTAATTCTGAGGTTATTAGTTTCTGCTCATTAGTTTTGTGAATTGTGAGAAGAAAAAGCATGTGACAGAAAGCACACACACTGAGAGTCAAGAGTTGTGAGGAAAGATGTCATTAACACTCCAGAGGGAAGAGTGATAGTCTATATTTTAACCTCCTGTTGACAGGAAATCAAGTCCTTCTCCAAGAAGACCACCAGCTAAGAAGCTAACACTACTAAGATCTGAGAATAGAAACGTCTTTATAATTCTGCCCCTTAACAGATGAGAAATGGAATCACAAATTCACCCGACAAGGAAAGTGATTACTTCTCCACAAGTACCCAACTGAGTCCCTATGGAGAACTGTTGTATCAGGCTTATTGAACTAAATATAAAGTCTACAATGACAGCAGATATTAAATGCTTAATGGAACATATGAAGTAAAAAAATATGAGACCTTCTAGAAGGTGGCTATTTCCACAGAATTAGCAAATGTACAACAAAGGTAGTGACATTCAATTATCTCCTTCCAAGAATTAATTTCAGATATAGTCTAAAGCCTGAAATGGCTCACGAGACTTCTTGATCGATCTCTGAACATCCATGCCGTCTCTGACCTTGACCTTGCTTTGTATCACGTTGACCTCCGAATCTTTACATTTATATCTCCACTGCACACAGGTCTGAAATACCCTTCCTTTTCTTATCTGTCTATTGTTTCTACTCTTGCTTCAGGATGTCCTCTGAGAACCACTACTTTTGTGATGTCTTCTCCAAGAACCTCAGGGAAAATCAACTACTTCTTCCACATTGTTAAATATAAAAACAGCCTGGATGTGTGATTACCTGGGTCCTTACAACATTGCTATAATTATTATACGTCTGTCTTAGCATTTTATTTCTGTATTTCTAGAACCTTAAACATTCATTTATTTATTCATTGCTCACCGAATTCACACTGATGAATTTTAAAAAGCTTGTAAAAAATGTCATTACTACTAATCACTAATTTGAGATTATCTTTTGAATTTAGGATTTCCTACTTTCATTTCCTTAGGGTGGCTCCTTAAAAGCACAGGTCTCCAGGCCACCTCACGTGTACAAGCCCTTACAGTTTTACAGCTGGACTCAAACCCTGTGTTATCTGTCATCTCTTTGCACCCAGTCTCACCCCATGGCCAATTCTATGCAAAATTTTGAAGATAATCTTCTCCAGATGCCTATTCCTATATAAAATGGTTTAGCAATTCTTGTTTGCCTATTTGATTGGACGTTACCTGAATATTTTATTGCAAGCCCTTCCCCATATCTTGCCTTCCATATACACTCTGTTAATGTATCTCTCTGTTCTGAGCTCTAGTATTTTCTTTGATGAGCAGGTTTCTTGCAGTGAGAAACCCCTTCTTGCTGAGAACCCAACAGCTTTTAACTTGCATTCTACTTTGAAAAAGTCTTCTATTATCCTGGCTCATTTAAACAAGGACTTCACTATTTAGAACTGCGTTCTCATGTATGTCTTGTATAAATTTGTTTTACTCCCTCCCTTCAATAAATACCACTCAAGGATTAGGAAAAGAGCATAAACTCTTTTTTTCCCTCTGTATCTCCCCCCTCTTTAATTTTGTACTTTGCTAGACATAAAGAATACATTAAAATAATTTTTAATTTATTGACAAATATTTCCCACCATGCTTTGTTATTTTATATCGACACGTAACACCTTGTCATTTCTATATAATGCCCTTGCTTTCATGTTGCCTTTTAATTGGTTCATTTATGTAACTCATCTCAGCCTATGGGTTATCAAACTGTTTAAGGCAGAAGGGGATTTCTATATCAAGTCAGTGGAACGTAGTGGGAAATGCACCGAACTGGGAGTCAGAAAACTCAGGTCTGAATTCTGTCACTTGAATGATTTCCTGGAAAGTTATCTTTTATCACCATTATTTTCTCCATGTATGAGATGAAAACAAAATATCCTCAGGGATGTTTGTGGGAATTAAATGAGATACTATATGTGGAAACTGCAAAATTTAATACACTATACAATATAAGGTATTTCTTATCATGTCTTCAAAATTCTTTTGTGGCCAGGACGTGCTGTGCACAGAGCAGACTGTCGGGAAAGGCTCTCCGAGAGACTCGAGTCAAATTGAGTGGGTCTTATTTCGTACCTTTTTAAAAAGTATCACTTGCAAAGTCCCATTCCTCAGCTTCTTTGTGTTTCTCTACAGGATACACATTTCTCTACAGGATACCCCAGTCCAGTGCCATTTTTTGCAGTGTTTTTCAACATGTTTCCATCTACATGACCTTTTTGTAGTCCGACTTCTTGCTTTACCAACTCTGATGAAATTTGTCTTGTCGATGCTCGGTTCCACCGCACCGAGGTCGTTATCACACCTGGAGCCGCCTTTTGCTGCAACCTCTCCTTTCCCATGGGCTCTTTTTCCCCTCTGCTGGCTGCCAAGGTGAAGCACATTTATTGGCATGGCCCCCAAAGAGGTGCCTGCCCGTCTCCCTCCCTCCTTTCTCTTTCAGCCAAACCATCACCTGCCCGGGGCTGGTGGTTGCTGCCACCCCTGTCCACGGCCTCACACGGCTTGGGCTCCAGTCCTTTTTGGCAGACTCTTCCGAACTTCCCCTGCCAGCAGCCTCCCCCTCTCGCCTGCAGCTCTCCGGGCTCCCGCCAGCCTCTCCCCCGCTCGGTCTGCGCTCGGCCCCTTCCTCCCGCCCTCGCCGGCTGCCTCACTCGCCTTTCCTCAGGCTGCTCCCTCTCCTTCCTTCCCCAGCCCTTCCCTTCATTCCCACAGCGCGTTGGCGTTTCTTTCCAGCGCCCCCACCCTCCCCGGGCCCGGGGTTCCGTTAACACCCGGACCACCGCTCCAGGGTCTGTGTGTACGTGTGTCCACCGGACAGAGCTTCTTTGGAAAGTGAGCATCTTCTTCCTCCTTTGTATTTGACATGATGCCCCCACGTCCCCCGCCCCCGCGCTTGTCCTGGAGCCTGGAAGGCGGGGTGTACCGATGGTAGAGGGGATTCAGGGCGACGGCAGGCCGCAGGCTTGGTCGGTGAACCCCAGCAAAGTTTTGGACTTGCCTTCTCAGGCTCCTTAAACTTGGCCAGCCCAGCGACAGCCCCGAGCCCCCACGTAGCGCACAGTGACCCAGGCGCTCCCCCTGAGTCCCAGCGCCCCCTTGGCTCTCCAGACCCGCTGATCTGAGGATCACGGTCGCCCTCCAGGACCGGGCCTCGGCCCGCTCCCCAGCCCACACCAGGGTCCGCAGCCTGAGCCCCACCCAGTCCCCGGCAGGGGAGGGGCACATTCGTATCAGGTGCATCGGTGGAAGGTGGGCGAGATGCAAGGGTGGAGCCGCCCAGGTGCCCGGGCTCCCGATCTCGCGGCTGAGGAGTGGGCGGTGTGTGAACGGCCCCATGCAGCCCAGGGCCCCTCTGGAGGGCTGCTTCCTAGGCAGTGCGCGGCCCAGGAGCGGTTTACCCTTTACGGGCAGTCTCCTTTAAGAGGCGTGCGCGTGCGTGGCGGGTTGTGTGTGCGCTCATGTGCAGATGTGTGTGTGTGCGCGTGTGTGTGCGTGTGCGCGCGCACCGAGAGGGCCCGAGAGGCAGGCAGACCCCGGGAAGGAGGAGTTATGTAGATTACGGATGAACGTTCTGGAGGGGAGCGGGGCGAGGAGGGAAGGAGAAGCCCCGGCGAGAGAGCGGGGAGCGGCCGCGGCCCATCCAGCAGGAGCAGGAGGCGGCGGCGGCGGCGGCGGAGTGGGCGGTGGAGGAGGCGGAGGACCAGAAGGAGGCGGAGGCCAGGAGGAGGAGGACGGCGGCGAGGAGGAGGAGGAGGAGGAGGAGGAGTACGCGCGGGCTGGAGGCGGCGGCGGCGGCGGCGGCTGCGGCTGCGACTCGGTGCTTTGAGCCGGAACCGCCGGTGAACTTGGGCGCCACGTTCCCGGTGATGGGCCCCCGGGGACGGTGATCGCGAGCCGCTGCTGCCCCTCCCTCCGCCGCTGCTTCTCTGGGGGCTGCAGAGCGCGGGGCACCTCCGTCGCCTCCCCTTGACCGGCTGTGGGTGAACCTGCAGGCTTCCGACCCACCCGGAGGACTTTTTTTGAAAGGAAAGCAGGGAGGGAGGGAGAGACAGAGAGGGAGGAAACGAAGGGGAGCTCGCTCGTCCGTCCACTGAAGCACAGGTCACTATGATCTTACTTACCTTCGGCACTGGAAGACGGTTGGATTTCGTGCATCATTCGGGGGCATTTCTCTTGCAAACCTTGCTTTGGATTTTATGTGCTACCGTCTGCGGAACGGAGCAGTATTTCAATGTGGAGGTAAGAGTACGAGGGCTTTCTTCCTTTCCCCTTGCCTGGGCTGCTCCCTGAAACATTTCGTTCACCCCTCGGATCCCCGTAGCTCAGAGCAGCCCGGGTCTCAGCACATTGTTCCCCCTCCGGCCGCCGAGACCCTTGTTGAGTTTCCTAGTGTCTTAGGTGATGGATGCGCGTGAGACTAGGAATCCGTTATCCCCAGCAGCACAAAGCACGGGTGCTGCGCGCTCAAAGACACAATCCATGCTTTTCACCAGGGAAGGAGGCGAAGTCCGACATACAGCAAACGTGTGGCTTAATAAAAGCAGTTTGAGTTGATGGTAAATAAACTGCTCGGGAAATACAGAATTCATTGCTTGGCAAGATGTGCTCCCATGGTATGGTTCCTGAAATCTTTCTCCCTGTGTTTTGTGCCTAACAAAGGAGGTTAAAAACCAAAGAATCTAGAGGAGAGTGTGGGAATACTTGATATGTTTAATAACATTACTTTGTGATAAAACACTTGACTAGACAGAGTCTTTTTCTCATTTAGACATAACTTAATACACAGTAACTAGATCTGGCTGCACAGAGGACAGGAAATCCATCTCTTCTTAAGTGTCTTCTCTCCCCCTCCCCCGCCAATTGAAAATAAACGTGGCCCAATAGTTCTGATAGTGTGTTTTTAATTTTATTTGACACTCTCATGGCAAATGGGAGAGGATTTAGACTGTCATTTGCTTTACTTTGATAGCTTTGGGAGCAGACAGACACAAAGCAAAAGGGAACTTAAGGATAACGACTTGTCAGACCTCTGCCAAAGTACTCATCCTGTCATCAACTCAGCACTAAAGCCAGTAACATGCGGTAAATCAGTGGAAGATTGTATACATCTGGGCTCTAACCAGTTTATCACATACACCGTGGAATACAAAGACAGTAAGAGGGTCTTAGTAAAATGTACTCCTTTTGACAAGATCTTCTGCCGCCTGAAAAGAATTACGATTAAGTCTCTGAAGAATAATGTGATTTTTCCCTCTGTTGTTGATTGTTGAAAGCTTTCTGTCATTTTGTTGGGAGTGTGTGTTTACACAACAGCAGGACCTGTTGCACAGTATCTGAACATGTTTCATGTAACAGATTTATATACGAAGTGTCCATAAGAAATGCTATATGGGAGGGTATATTCTGAATAAACTCTGTGTTTATATAAACTGTTCTTAGGACTCCATGTAATAAGTGATGGTTGGTAGAGAAACAAAGTGTTTGAAAAAGTGAGAACCATTATGGAGAGTTGAGTTTACAGATGTTAAGTGTGATTATTTTACACAAAAGCCCAATTCAAACCAAAACTGCTTAACCCTTTGAAAAATACAACTTTGTTTTTCTGAATAAAAGAGAGATGGAAAGGGGCTGAAAGTCCAGACTTTTCTAGATGGCAAATGTGAACTTTGGAAACTACTTGCCACCCATGGATTTTTGTTTTTAGCATTTAAATCAAGAGATAATTTAAGGTGGAAATAAAGAAGTAATTAGTTCATAGACTAGAGGAATGAAAGTGGCAAGCTGTTATTTATCATGTTGTAAACAGAAGGGCCTATTGCTTCAGTTTGGTGGTTGTGGTGATGGTGGTGATGGTGGTGGGGTGGGGCATGGGGTAGGTAGTTAAAAGTAGGTGCTAGGTTTTATCTTGCTCACTATGAAGAGGGAGGGAGAGCCTGGACTCATGGCTACCTGCTTTGGGAAAGTCAGATTTGCTTTCAGAGATTTTGGGGATTGCATCAGTGTTTTGATGATTATCAGGTTTCCCTTTTCAGCCTGAAGATCAATGTGATTGTATTCCTTCATAATTTGAGTCCCGCAATCAGTTTAATAAGGTATTATGCAAGAAAAAGTTATGATTTTGCTTAAAAAAAGATTTTACTTTGCATTGCTGTTTTCTCTTTCTTCAAGGTATATGTTAAAAATGGTTCATGGAAAAAGAGTTATGTTCTCTGTTTTAGAGTATTTGAGTTATTCCATCCATATTTATTACAAACATTTAATTATGAAAGGTAAGAGGCATGTGCCATCTGAGACCTTAAAAAAGAATATTTGATACAAAGGAGATTTTCTGGTGATTTAGAGTAGATTGTCTTTCAGTGTTTGTACTATTTCCAAATAGTTTTTTAAGCATTCGAACATATCCTTAGTTGGATTTACTTACTTCTCTATGTGTGATAATACCTCCAATTTTTTTTTTTAATCTTAAGAGTGGCTGCTAGTTAATTCAACATACTATAAAGAACAGGGGATGTTTTCTGACATGAATTTCTGCCTGATTCATTTTTATTGGCTGCTTCTTTTTGATAGGAAGCACTAATGGGAAGAGTAGTCCATCACATCTTCTTCAGAAAAGGCATTTATATTGTGTTCCCCATTCTTGCTTTGCACAACATACAGTGGGAATGCTTTATTTGATTGATTCTCAAGGACAGTCTTAAAATAAACAGTAATGGTATCAATCATGCATGAAGCTCCTATGATCATCAGTTTTTTTTCTAGCAAGCACACCGAGTTATAGTTGGAACGAAGCTTTTAAAAGATGCTTCTTTTATGCTGACAACTGAGAGTACAATGCGTTATCCCTCACTGAACTTAACAATCGATGAGACCCCTCCCATACTTTTCATATCTATAATTTAAGGTTTAAAAACCGATATTGTTTTCCCCTGGAGGTGGGAGGGGGTTGGGTGGAGATATTCATGTTAACTTTTTCCTATCTGATTTTTAAGGGTCTAAACATTTGGAATTTTAACTGTTAGAGCAGGAGATATTTGTGAACATACTGAAAAAGCCTGTTACAGAGAAAGAGTACATTTTGTTTCTTTGTTTGTTTTTGTTTTTAAGAAGCAAAAAGGAGAATCTCTTACAGCTGAGAAGAAGGGTGAGACACTGCCAGAAGTAGTACTATGGAAGAGTCAATAAATTCCCCTCCTAATAGATTGCAGGTAGAACACTTTTTAATGCTAAATTTTCAGTATCCATTTGTTTAAAGATTTCTGTATATCATCAGATCCATTTTGGGGGAGTGGGCCTTTCAGTGATAACCATTAAAGTGATGCAAAGGAGGAACATTGCGAGTAGTAACTGAAAGTCAAAAGCTGCTGTCATTGGACAGCAGTCTGAATCAGAGGCGTTCGCTGGTCAGAAGCAGCTGAGCTGTTCGCAGAGACCCATGGTTTAATCGCTACACTCTTTAAAAAGTCATTTTGTCTCTAAAATACTGTTATTGTTGTAGTGGAGATTCTCATGACCTTGGGGCTCTTTTTTTTCTTTTTTTTCTTAACACTATAAGCATTTTTGTCATGAAGTTTAAGATAGTAGTAATAATTTTCATCAACTTTGATAGTTTTTCAAATGTTAAATATGTGAATGGCATATTCTTTACTTTTTAAACAACAGCACACATAATGAGGAAAAATTATTTCAAGCCAATTTAATGGTAAAATAAAAAGATGTGATACTCTGATACACATATCAAAGCTTAAGAAGATGATGACTTTTTGGTGACAAAAAATCTTGATAAAGCAAACATTAAAAGATTTTGCTTTTCCTAATTAAAGAAAGAAGAGAGATTGTAGATTTCAAAAGGTTACTTTATGACAAGCACTATGAATGTAACCATTTCCTACATTTGTGGATGTGACCATTTCCTACATTTTTCTTGCAAAATGTTTCTTGAACTTAGTCTTTATTCAGCTTTGTCAGATTTAATCTGAATCTACCTGAAAGGTTAGAGTTTGCTGAGCGTAGTTTTGTATCACATATACTCTTAGTGGCAATTAGTGGTGAGACGTTTTAGAGCTAAACAAATTTATATTTTCCAGATTTAAAAATGTCATATGGTGGGGCCTTTTCTCATATCTCTTGTCTTTTACTGGCTTGAATAGTCAACATACATTATGTCATTTGCTCATAGAAGGATGGTGACACCATGATGTAGTCAGCTTCCTTGAGTAAGGGACTCTGATTACATCCCATAATGCTCCACCATAGCAGTTTTCACTGGTGAACAGCAGGTGCTGTGTAGCTGATTCATGGGTTTTTTTTTTACCTGCAGCAGGATTCCAGGCTTTGGAATCCCAAGTATGCTGGCCATTGAGAAGGCCATGAGGGCCAAGAACTATGAGCAAGAGACCAGAAGACTCAACAGCCCTCAGGTTCTCTAGCTTCTCCTGTGTGCCCCACCTTCACTGTACCTGTCTTGTTCAGAGTTGCTTGGTCAGATTGTCCGGATCTAGGGTGACATGATTGCTCACAGGTGAGCAGATGCCTGTGAGGTTGTTTGCCTCCTACTGCAGCCAAGAAATCCTCAGAGACCAGCTGTCCACATCTGTCCCCCTGTACGTCTGGATATTCTCTTTCAGGCTTTTCTTCCCTATCAAGTAAGAATAGAGTTTGAGTTCAATAACAGCTTTTTTATTTCTAAAGTCAGGTTAAAAGCAACAGAGCTGAAGTTTCTATTTTTTCTTGTCCATGCTATTTCAGGTTATTAACATAAGAAAATTTTAATGAGCTTGTTCAGTGGTATAATTCTTTTGTCTTCAATTGGATTCATGAATGATTTTATGTAAATTCATTTCACTACCTGACCGACCCCAACCACCCAAAATGTACTTGTTCAGAATATTTGGTAAATGGCCAACTGGAATTATTTCTGGGTTCCCCCAAAAGGAGCCATTGAACATTCAAATTAATTAAGTCAAATTTGTGCAGTGTCAGAACCTGAGATTTAGCTCTTTATATTCCTTCAGGAATCTTCTGACCCTTCAGCACATATATTTCAAGTTGAGAAAGTCATTTTTTATGTTACTTTCTATCACAATTCACTTTAAATATCTGTGAATGTGCTTATATTCATCAAATAGTTTTTTTTTTATTGTGGTGTCGTATAGTGATTAAGGGCACATACTCCAGCATCAGATTGCCTGGGTTCTAATCCCAACCTTTTATTACTTGCAAGTTAATCATTAAGTCAATAA